CGTAATATGATTCAGCGAAATATCTGGGAAAACATCTTGACTCACGACTTCACTGGAACATCGTGTACGCCAGAAAAAGTTGCAAAACAAACAAAAAATGCACAAACTGTTGTGGCTAGCTGGTTGACACTCCGAGCTAGTCTTAACCAGCAAACGTCTCCTGTATGTATCGATTGTTAAACCGATTAGGATTTATGGTATTCCACTGTGGAGTTGTGCCAGTAAGTCCAATATCGAAATAATACAACGATGCCAGATGATCGCTTTTTGTACCATTTCCGCAGCATATCGGTATGATAAGAACGATATAATTCACCATGATTTGAAAATGTCATCCGCACAGGATAAAATTACCCGGTTTGCTGGCAAGCATGCAAGAAAACTGGAGCTCCACAAAAATGCGACTGCCAAACAGCTCCTCGACTACTCGAAGGATATCAGACGACTCAAACGACTGAAGCTATTTGACTTAGTCTAATTATTAGTTTAAGAATGGGGCTGCTTCAATGAAAGTAAAACCCCACACAAGTCTTGTGAATATATTTTGCATTGTATGCATAAATACTTCTATTGATTTATATTTATAATGATTCTTTTATCGTTAAAAAAAAAAAAAAGTCAAATTTACTGTAAAATGAATTTTTTTAAGTTATTTTTCAAACTGTTTCGATTTGTTTTAGTGCATTTAAATTCAAACGGGAACGTCATTGTTCTAACTTTTGATAACTAGTTTAAACACACATTGTAACCTTGTTTATTATTCTACATTTCACTCTCAACACATGTTCCGCCCAGCTAAGACTTCGACTTTTCATGACACCTACTTTATCGGCTTCGTTAAATGTTTGCCTTTATACTGCGGTTGTCCTTTTCTTTATCCTTTAGTCATATTTATTGTTTTCATTGATCTTTTTATGGCCAAATATCCTCTTTAGTATTCTCTTCTCAAATATCATTAGTTTCTTTTAGTCCCCTTTTAATGATTCCCATCCCCGAATGTAGGTAATGCAATATGCCTGACTTTGGCTTTATATAGCCTAAGTAGTGCCCTCCTGATTTTTAGTTTTGACACTGTAAATATTTTTTACTGAATAACATTTAAAAAAAAAAATTTCAAATAATAAAAGAAATAATATCATAAATTTAGCCATTCTTTGAAATAATAAAATTTTAAGATCATAATTTGAAATAAAAATCGTATTTCTTGTCTTTTTTTTTTCCCCGATTATTATGCAAATTACTTTGATATCAAAAATGACTTTTTCTGTTAGTGGCTACCAACTATTTAGTTGGGGCAATATTTCTAGTATAAAATCTAGTGAACAGAAATCAAAAAAAAAAAGGTTAACGATGGCGCCGTGGCATGCCGTAAATATTTGCCTTTTTACCCAACATTTTTTTTCTGATTTTTCCCATATATTTTAAAAATTATTCAGAATTTTAAAAAATGACCGTTCAAATGTAGCAACTTTAGGTTTTTTTTCAAACTCTTTTTATTAGTTTTAAAGCTTCTAAATTCGAACGTGAACATCATCGTTTTAATTTTTGGTATCTAGTTT